TTGTTATCATTCTCGTCATCATCTTCACTTGCAGTGGAATCAGTTGAGCTTACTTCAGTCTCATCCTTAACATAGTGCATCTTCCAAGTAACTTTCTTTTTGGTTTCATTTGTTTTTTCTCTTTCCTCCTTTTCTACTTTTCCTCCATCACCTTGTATCTTTGTGTGTTCACCTGTACTATTTTCATCAATAGAATCATCCTGTCCAACTTGGTCTAGTTCAGCATTTCTGGTTTCCTTTTCTTCCAGTTCATCTAGTCTTGCAAACAAAGACCACTCCTCTGATGACACTTTCTGCACTTCAATTGCTTTCATCGTAACTTTCTCCTTTCGATCACTCCTTAGTCCTAGAACTTTCTTTGCGCCACCTAATCTTTCAACTTTAGGATGTGCCTTTCGAGAATGTTGAGCTGCCAATAAATAAAAGTTGCAGTGACTTTTAACAAACAACAAGCAAGAGTCATGCAGGATACTACAAGTTCCTTCCTATACCTGCTGGCATGATATAAATAATATTCATCCTGGTTTATTTCTTGACTTTCAGTTCATCAGACCACACCAACATGGGGCACAGTTTATGCTCTCTAGTTAAAATCTTCAGAACTTCATCATAAAGTCATTCACCCAATTACTTCCTACTGCCACACAGTTCCTTGAAAATCAAATAGGAGAATTAATTTTGGTGTTATAACAACATGGCACCCTCTTGCTGGAAAGCTTTTCTAAATCAGAGGCACAACCAGGAAGGCATCCTAGGGTGCAGTTAATAATCTCAATTTATGAATCAGTGGAATTCAGGAATTCATACATTCAAGCCCCATATCTAATGCACTGCGCATATTTTACTGACAGCTCTAAAACCAAGTTTAAAAATGCATATAGAATTTTCCCCAAAGAGTAATAAAAATCTTACTTAAAAATCTCTCCTCCTCTTGTGACGAAAGCTCTTCTTTGATTTCTTTTACATCTGAATTTTCCTAAGAACCATAATGATCAATAGGAATATTTTAATGCATCTCCTGCACAAATTACTCAAATTAATTATTTTTATTTATTAACTGAGAGAGAATGGCTTTATGCCTATATGAACAAAACAGCAGGTATTAATGTTGCATAATTTTCAGAATTTGAATAGTTCAACACTGCATTTCAGGATAAGCATGGAAATATTTGTCATCATTAAATTATGCAACCTGCAAAATATGTATACAACATACATGTACTTCCCCACAAAGATTACTCTTTGAACTTTACCATATCCGAGTTCCTCTGAATTGGCAAACACAGCACCCTTTGTATTTACTCAATAAAATGACATCGATTCATTAATACGTAATTTTAAGTTGTGGATTCGCCACTTTACCTCAGCAACAGACTGAATTTCTGAGGCAAAGCTTAATGCTGATTGAAAATTCTTCAAGTCTTCCTTGATTCCAGTGATATCTTTCTCCAGATCTAACAAGGAAAGGTCATTGTAAATAATGCAAGTAAAGCTTCAAGCAGTTGCACAACATCATCTAGTCTTTAACTAAACAAAGTGATACAAATAAATGAGAAGAATGAAACAAAACAGCACGTTGTTCTCACCACTTAAAAGAAGTAATTAGTAAAAAAATCTAAGTGTATAAGGGGGTTTTCTGATACAGCATGAGCTAAAAGCACATTTCCATGGGACATTTGTGTATATTATCATTTTAAAAAAATTGACCATTTTTCAATGAGCAATAAGGTTTGAATGGTTTTCAGTTCATCAGACCAAACATCACTAGGTAAAAAAACCCTCTGTTGGCTAATTACTCACAAGGTCATCATCAAACCATAAAAACCTTAGGGCACCAAATCCTTTACAACTTCCTAAGCAACACTGAGTCATCAACCCTTGAACTCACCAGATCTGGTTGTTAATTCTCCCCTCTAGCTGCTGCACATTCCCATGCAAATTAGTTATGGGAATTTTGTGTTAGATCAAGATAACAGCTACATTACAACTTTTAGTATTCTCATTCCTGTTGGATAATATATGGATATTACAGGGAGAAATTACATTTTAATCACTTCTGGGAGTTAAAAATACAGAAATATACCTATCCATGTGAAAGCCAAGTTCACATATAGACAAAAAAAAAAGTGCAAGACTGAAAATAACAAATTTTCTGTGAGCCCTCCATCATCGAAAAGCATTACCATGTACATGAAGTAAATGACAGTACATTTTTTTCGTCTCTCCACCATTTCAAGAGCTTGACTGCCTGAACGCTCTGCAAACCAGTTGTCTCCAAGAAGCACCATAATCTCATTAGTGTGAACAAGTTTTCCTGGCATAAAGGCTACAGATCCAAATGGAACCTGATGACAAAAGAACCTTTTTTGCATTCATGGTTCTCTATTTAAATGTTGCCCAACTTTCTGTTGTCAGAGTTAGAGATTCTGCAATAACTTAACCTCACGACTCACAGCCTTTAGGTACATTACCCCCATTAATACCTTAAGAAGCCTAAGAGCTGAGAAAATGGATGTCCCTTCTATGTTTAACCTAATTTCTCCAATCTGAAAGCATGAGGAAGCCCAAAAATAATGCACTTCTATAATCCCTTCCCTTAAACCTTTCACTTCCAAGAACTTATTTATTTAGCGATTCTCCTTGCTGTCTGCTATACAATTCTTCTGATGTTAGTTTGGAGAATTTGGTAATGGATCAACTGATAATCCCCTGATTTTCCTCTTCCCTTATTCTCATTACTTGTCTGCTTGATGTTGCATTGATATTGTAAGGAGAAATTCTGTCTTGGTCACTCGTGGAAGGGTTACCCATGGGAGTTGAAGGATTAAGTTCAGGTTTCTATAACTTTTGGTTGACCTATGTTTCACGGTGTGCAAGGCAATAAACATTTACATAATGGTTGGAGATCCCAGTTCCCGTGGTTTCAATGAATTTAGCTTGCCAGCCTCTACATACTATGTGTGCCACCCAAAACTCTACTACAATATTTAAACATCCTCCCCTCTGCAGACCAAAACTCACCATAACCTCGTGGGAAGTTTTGTTTGGAAGAGTGTTCAATAAAGCCTCGAGTTTCTCGTAGTCTTCCTTAAATCGTTCACTGTACAACAAACAAAAGAAAGGACCTTAAGCCTATAAATATGCGCGATAACTCGTTAAAGAGGTCAAAGCCATCGAACAGAGTTCCGAATAAAGGAAGTGTCTTGTAAACTCCATACCACGTGAGTAGTCGCTGTTGGCGTTCCAGCAAAGCCTAAAACGAAAGTTCGAAAATTTCGTAAAGATTAACGCATCACCTATCTTTTCCAGTCTATAATTGTGTCGTTACCTTCTTATTTTCTTCTTTCAAGCGTGATATTTGCGCGAATTCCGACATTATCGACAAAAAACTCACGGCTGAATAACATCGTCCGCCATACCTTCTTCTTGACAATTATACACCACCCCACAGAGGAAAGGATTACAACGGTCACGGTGTTACCCATAGTACAACGCTATCATCGAGTCAAAAAATGGCGGTCGATTGAGGGAACGGCCGGTTGTTTACAAATTTTGAAATATTTATAAGGGACAAACATGTTAAAGAGGTGAGATCTGGTATATTTTTCATCATGGAGAATTACATACTGTACGACGAAGTTGGTAGAGGAGAACACTCTGTGGTCTACAAAGGTCGTAAGAAAGGAACAATTGAATTTGTAGCGATTCACTGTGTGGAAAAATGCAAGCGACTGGAGCTTCGAAATATTGTCAGACTGACCCACGAGATGGATCATCTAAACGTTGTCAAGTTTCGCGAATGGTACGAGACAACAAATCACATCTGGATGGTGGTAGAGTTGTGTACAGGAGACAGTTTGGACTTCGTCCTGTCTCAAGATAAACGTCTGCCATTGGAAACTGTCAGGCAATTTGGAATTGAAATTGCAAAAGCATTGTACTACATACACTCCCTTGGAATTCTTTATTGTGATTTGAAACCATCAAGGATAATGCTTGACGGAGCAGGGGTCTTAAAGTTCAGTGACTTTGCACTGGCTAGAGTTGAAGGAGAGGACGATTTTTATGACAGTTTACAAGAAGAACAAAATTCTGACGACGAGGACCAAAATTATAGAGGAACAGAGAAGGATAAAAGCCAGCGACCCAAACCTTCACCCCACTATATGGCCCCTGAAGTACTCAGTGGGGGTCCTCATTCTAAAGAAAGTGACCTGTGGTCATTTGGGTGCGTGTTGTATGAATTGTTTTCGGGGGAAAAACCTTTCGTCGCAGATTCTTTTGCAGAACTAGTCACAAAAATTTTTCATGAAAATTCCCCTCATCTGAGGTTAGACATGGAGAGTGCAAAAAATGGAGCATTACATGACCTTGACAATCTAATTGAAAAACTATTGGAGAAAGATCCTACAAAGCGTTTGGACTGGAAAGATTTGTTAGCTCACAGCTTTTGGAAAGGCGAATTAGAAAATAAGTTGAAATCTGTTGAACAAATGGAAGGAGAAACAGAAACTAAAGATCAACAAGAATTGGAAAGTAAAGAGAGGAGTGCCAAGTTACTTAGTGGACATAGTGTGGAAGATAAAGAAAGAGTGAAAACCATTAATGATGGATTAAATCTTCCAACACAGATGGTCAGGCAGGGGACATATACCTTCAGTGGCAGGCCACATACGGCTGACTCTGCCTCGGGTGGTAATGAAAATGAATTTCTTGGTAAAGCTCAGACAGTGGTTAGAAGAACAAAATTAGATGATCAAGACAAGAGTGTGTCCAACTCAACTAAAAGTACAAAAAGTCAGTTTACAAATGCACCTGTTGCAACTCCTAACTCAAAGAATGATAAGTCAAAACTGGTGAAACAAAATCAAACACTTAAAAAATCTGACATCAATGACCTGAAACAGAATGGATATAATCAAAGTGAAGCTCAGGAATGTAAGAGTTCAGTACTTCAGGGTCAACAGGATGAAGACAACAGTAGTCCAAATAAAGAGAACATTTCAGATCTGGCCAGACATCCATCAGATTTTATTGTGACACCAATAGCTGATAACCCTCGCATCAAGAAATTTGCTCTTCCCAAATGGGATTCAAAGGCACTACCTTGTCAACCTCTGAAACCAGGAGAGCTTGTAGACCTTCCTAGGGAAAAATTTGAAGAGCATTTAACCTCTATCAGCAGTTTGTTGAGTCAAAATGACAAAACAAATGCTGGCCCTGTTGCTTCTCTTCATCGGAGCAAATTACACACAGCATCTTATTTGGCATCACTGTGCCGCGATGGAGAGATTGTCAATGAAATCTTCGACTCAGATTTTATACCAGTGATGCTGAGACAGATTAAGTCTGGTTTTTCAGCTGATTTCAAATCAAGACTTGGTAAGTGTCACTAACAACAAGTGGTACTCATACCTTACATTTGGGTATGAGATTGTGTTTGTAAGGTTAAGAAACCCTTTCAAGTTGTTCCTGGGCCTGGTTGTTCAAAGGGTGAGTAGGGTTCATAGGGCTAACCCAAGATTAAATTTGAATCCAGCATCCAATAATGAAATTTTAAACCCAAGAAAAAAAAATTGTACTGAATTTTCTTTTAAAGCTTTCAGACCTGAAATAAGATCTAACATTAACCCAGGTTTATCTGAGCCCAGCTTTGAACAACCTGACCCTAGCCATCAGAAAATTGTAGCATTAACAGTTCTCACTTTTTCAGCATAACATAGATTCAAAGTTTTAGTCTACAGTTACCCACTGCTAAGTGGTTTATTGAAGCATTACTTAACCCCATTTTCAATAGCACCTAACAAATAAACCCTTATGCTCCTGAGAGTGATCTATGCTTGATTTCTCCTCAAACTTGTAGCACCATGTCAAACATATTGGTAGAGAGAATTAAGAAAATTGCAAGTCAGGGGATATTGTTTGGGTTCACACCAAATTCCTAGGATTTGCACTAAATGTAGGGGTTTCCATGAAAGCTGGTTGCCAGCTATATACCTCAGCCTGTAAACCCTCTTACAACCAGCTGGCTAGCTAGCTGAAGAAGGCTTTTGTGTTTGGGTTTGCTTTTTGGGGCCTTTACAAGGTTCAGGCACCTATTAAATAATTGGCAGCCGTTTATAGAAAAAGTTATCAAAACTCTTAAAATTATGAATCAATAATTTATTCATTGTTACTTGACAGGATATGCTCTCAGTCTTTTAGCTGGTAATGCGACAATGATTTCTGAGGACTTCAACATGACAGAAGTGTTCACAGTTCTAACAGAGGTCGTTAGAGACAACTTTCGGAATGCCAAGCTCAAGCAACATCTCTTACCTGCCTTGGGCGAGTTTCTGTTTTATGCTGCAACTCAGGAGGAAAATTTAGGAGGTGAAATTCCACAATGGGACATTCCAGGTACTGTGTTCAGAGAGTCAGTCTCGTACAGATATGGCTACGACCTTCTTTAGGTATTTTCATGATGTTGCTTGTGCTTGTCAAGTGTATGTATGTCAACACCTCATTATGAAAACGCAATCAAACTTGCCCCAAATACACAGGCCAGTTTGATTGATCTTGTGTTAAAATAAATTACATACAGATGAAAAAAAGAATGTAAAAGGATCTGTAGGCAAATGATTGACTGCAATGCCAACAAACCAAGTCCTCCATCAGGGGTTTATTAGGATCTAACAAACTGACCAGCTCTCAATTGGCTTGTTCACCCAGTTGGTAGAGTACTGCAACACTACATTGTCTCGCAGATGTCATGGGTTCAACCCCCTTACAGGCCTGATTTTTTTTCCTTCGGGCTGTATTTTCACTAGACTAAGTGGTTAAAAGTAGTGTCCATTACTGCAAAGATCTGTTTCGTCTTCATTAATCCACAGTTCAAATCCACAGTTTAAATATGTTCACAGTCCTTTTCTCTTGTAGTATTCTTCTACTTCTTGTTCATAAAATGCTTATAAACAAATTTTGGTTTTATTTCCTTTAGGAGTTACATTCACTATCGTCACCAGATGTCTGCATGAGGGAGAAGACATCGTGGTGCAGCACTTTGCCGCTAAAGCCATTGAGAACGTGGCGTCAACTCGTGGCAGACATTGCACGAAATTTGCCACAAATGACACTGCTCAGGTGGGAACGAAGTGAACGTTGAAAACTCAGAAAATTAAAACGGTTCTGGACTGATTGTCATAATAATTCAGAACCGAAGCAATCACCATAGCCAATCAGGGTCTGGAATTAACTTATTTTTTTCCTCGGGCACCGAGTGGCGATTGAACAATTTTATGTCAATTGTCAGAGCAAACAATTAGGTCGCCAATAGTCCGATTGGGAGAATTTTCACAAAAGGCATAGTTTGAACCAAACAATCAGGCAAATGGTGTTATATTTGTAAAAGTGAGAATCACAAGTCATATTTTATTCTTATCCATATCTTTTCTGCAGCTTCTTTGGAATTTCTTCACTCACTGTACCATTGATGCCCAGAAGGTAACCGCGATCTCAGCGCTCAGTCGCTTGACAAGTAACTCACCTGCAGTCTTTCAACATGTAATTGAGAAGGCAGGTTTCAAAGCAGTAAGCACAGCCTTGGCCAGCAGCATTCCCAAGATCCAGCAAGGTTTGGTTACGATGTTTGTCGTGCTGCTGTCTAACAGACCTCAGATGCGGAGGATCGTTCAAGAACGAGACCTGGTCACCAAGGGCCTTCATCTGTTTGAGAGTCCCTCTATGGTTATCCGGGGTAAGGCATTCCTTTTGGTCCTAACCTTGATCCAGTCCACCCCAGAAGCTCTCCTCTTGTGCTGCCAGTCCCGGCTGGTCATGTATGTCGAGAGACAAGTGAAGAGAGGCATCCCAACCAAGGGTGAGAGCCGCGAGAATAGAGACTATCTTGTCCAGTGTCAGAATATTTGTATGTCCGCCATCGTTGATGCGGTACCCGGGATCTTCTCGGATGTGTTGGCTTCCCTGGATGCGGTTCAAGGAAGGAAGCATCCCTCAGCTACTCAGGCCAAGCAGCTACGAATACACCTTCCTCTGCTTTCTATCATTCTACACCTTGTTACAAGTCACGCTTTCCGTTCGCAAGTAACAAATGAAGAATTTCTCGTCAATATCGGTTTGCTTCTATCGCATGTGATCTCCATTGATTCTGGAAACACCAGCATTGGATCAGCAGCGGGACCAAATGCAGCAGATGACCTGATCAGCGTGGTATTTTCCATCGCGGAAGCAATCACGCAACACCCTCCTTTACTTCTGGAGTATCATGCAGTCGTCGCGCAACATATTCTGCCTCATCTGGTTGCACTGATGAGCAGTGCAAATGGAGATACACGAGTGTTAAGCTTCAGAATGTTTGCTGAAGTAGCGTCGCTGTATTTTGATAATCATAATGTATACAATTCTTCCAGTGATATAGAAGATGTTTTGGCAAGTACCAGGAAACTAAATGAGGTGAGATGCTTTCTCTCTCAGCATGGAAGAGCTCTATATTTCAATTAATTACTGCGCTTACCGTTAAGTCCAAACCACATCTTCATCTAATAGAAAAAAATTTGCGTCTGGCGTTTTTAAAGTTGGCCTTTTGTAGGTGGTAATATCTTTGTTGTCATTGTTTTCTCCTAGGTTATTATTAATCACTTGCTGCCTCAATATCATCTCATCCTACAAGAGCAAGATCCTTTGCCCGCATATGGTCTTAAGCTGTTACTATCTTTCTTGGAACGAAGCCCCGACATCATCCTCACAGTTGTAGATCAAAAGCTTCTTCTTACCATGTCCCAGATCCTACAGTCCCACACTGACCGGGTCGACAGGGGAATGGTTTTGAGTATGGTTGGATTACTGGATTGTCTGATTTCTGCTAAAGATGTTGACGTCTCTTTGTTGTACGACCAAGGTTTGATTGACATCCTCGTTTCCGTGTTCGTTCATGCAGCGTCGACACAAAACGAGGAAAATTCTCCCGGAAATGACACCTCAGTGGTGCTGTTGCTTCCTCTTCTCGATGCTTTAAACAGTACGTTGAAATTCGTCTCCAGAGAAGTGCGCAAAGCTTTGCAGGTGAAGACTGAGGCGAGACCAGACAACGAGGCTCAGACGCAATTGGCGGAGAAGCTTCTTGTGCACAGTAAACCGCTGATCGAGATGACTGGCTTGCTTATCAACTTTCTATGTCACGAGGACCCGGATGTGAGGGACAGTTCTTGTAGGTGCTTGTATCTTATGGTGGAACTCTTTGGAGGGATTTATGAGGATTCTCTAAGTACGGAGAACATGGAGTGCTTTGCTGAAGCGTTGAGTGCCGCTGACGTTAAGAAACAAAAGCAACTTTTGAGAATTGTCAAACGGTTAGTTTCTTCTAATTCACAGAGTAACTATTTAGAAGGAAACAGTTTGCAAAGACTCATTCATGTGCTACAAGGACTGCCGACTTCAACAGACTCCTCCATCGCTGAAGGATCGGCTGTTGAAGGCCTTGTGGGAGAAATTCTTCTCAAACTAGGCCATGATAATTAGCCCCTTCGGCTGAGGATTTAATCATAACCGACATGGAGGTGCTGTTTTTAAGTTATTTTCCTGAGGTCTTATCTCGAAAGCCACACAGCTGAGTGTGCGCACTTCTGAATTTGATTGTATTTATTCCCGAGGAGATAAGGGGTTTTCTGGTGATGTTCTGCCAGTGGGGGGGAGGGGGGCTATTCTGGGATGCATCGCCCTGTCAAATTCCTTACCACTTTCGATTGAAAAATAAAAAAAGTGAATACTCTATCATAAGGCAAACGTAGTGAGCTTGAAAGTTCTCAGAAATACAAAAAAAAATTTTTCTTAAAAAAAAACTAAGGGCTTTATTATTTCTTTCTCAAGTAACCTCTAAAAGCGTTATTCCTCTCAGGAAAAGCGCGTCTTTATTTTATTTTTGGGTTTGCTACAATTTTGTCCAACAGTCAACCTTTAACATGCTCAACAAATATTATTTGATATACGTCCCTCATAACTTC